TACCCCATTATAAGATGAATCCAAGGGAGAGCTAGATTCTTCAAGAATAGGTAGAAGAATTATTGAAGAAGGGACATACCCGGGTGAGCATTAGACCTTATGGAGTTCCTGCCTTATTGGTACCAAAGAAGGATGGGACTTAGAGGATGTGTGTGGATAGTCGAGCAGTCAACAAGATCATGATGCAGTATCGATTTCCTATTCCTTGTCCGGAGGACATGTTGAACCAATTGTCAGATTCTATAGTATTCTCCAAAATAGATCTTCGCAGCGAGTATCATCAAATCCAAATCAAAGAGGGAGATGAATGGAAGACCGCATTTAAGACTAAAGAGAGATTATACGAGTGGTTAGTTGTGCCATTTGGGTTGACTAATGCACCGAGCACGTTCATGCGACTTATGACTCAGGTTGTGTGTCCTTTCTTGCACAAATTTGTGGTTGTTTACTTTGATGACATCTTAATTTTCAGTCGCAGCGAGGAAGAACACCTTCAGCACCTTCGACAAGTGTTGGACTTTTATAGAAAAATGAGTTGTACATCAATCTTAAGAGGTGCAGTTTTACGACAGGGCGGATTCTGTTTTTTAGCTATATTGTTAACTCGGAAGGAATTCATGTTGATGACATAAAAATTGAGGCCATTCGAAATTGGCCCATTCCCAAGAACATCACTGAAGTTCGCAGTTTTCATGGTCTTGCTACTTTCTATAGGCGGTTCATCAGGAACTTTAGTAGCATCATCGCTCCTGTGACGCCTGGATTTTTCTGTGTCTGAAATAGTAGTTTTACCAGTCTGTGAATAGTACCACCGGTCTATGAATAGTACCACCGGTCCTGGAGTCAATATTATTTTGGTCTGGAAAAATTACTATATATGTTTTATATTTTCTTTAATTCACTATCATATGTTTTATACTTTTCTTTAATATTTTTTTGGACGCATGTCATGCATGGTTTTTATGGTAGAAAAGTAAGTAAGGAATATTTCTTGGAGAATTTAGATAATTAGTGAACGTGAATTATTGTGTTATTATGGTAAGAAATATTTGAAGGAATTATTTTTAACGGATTAAATTGAAGAATTAGTAGATAAATAATATGTCTGAAGAATTTAATCTGGGAATATTTTTTACATTTAGATGCAGATTACTTTTGACTTACATTAACACCATTGTGGGAAAAGACTTAGTTGCATTTATAAGTCAACTCCAATTTGAGTTTAGCCACCTTTCTCTTCTTCTTCTCCCCTTTCCTTGTTTTTTCTTCACTTTTACTCACTAAATCCACCAAATTTACACCATTAAACTTGATTTAATTAATTAATCTTTGAGATTAAAGCTTGAGAAGTAATTTTTGGTGAATAATTTGAAGTAATTTGGAGAGTTACCACTTAGGCCAAAGGGTGGAAAACTTTCTACCAAAGAGAAGGGCTTCAAGAGTTTTCTTAAACTTGTTAGAGCTTATGGTTAAAGTTAGTGTTCATAAACACACTTACCTTACTCTAATTTTTGATTTTGTGCCTTTATGCTAGCATGTGTATATTTTGGGATTTTGTATGAAATTCTTTGGGAGATTTTCTAAGCATGCCTTTATATGTGTTGATGAGGAAAGATTTTTTTTCTATTCTCTCCAAGAGTGGCAGAAATCTATTCGATGAATAATGGCCTTAAAGTTTCTTATTATTCTAGGATGATGTTTGATGATATTAGTATGAGAAATCTCTTCCTTTGCTATCTTTGGTCCTTTCATGTTTCTTTTTTTTATGGTTTAAAAGTAAGCTGAATTTGGTAAGTTAGGGTCCTTGAGATTTAGACTAGTTTTCGGACCATTATCTATTTTCCATTTTTGCGTCTTGAGTCCTTCATTGAACCATGTAGGTATCTTACTCTTCTAGCTTTTCCAACCCATCCTTCTTGTGTCCCAATTTGGTATACTATATAGTCAACTTCATGGCTGAACACACCAAACTGACTTTGTTATGTTGGGCCACATGCATCTCACTGCATATAGTGCGTAAACTACTATTGAAACACAGGAAAAACGAGGCGTTACAATTAGGTTCTGAGTTCTTCATGAAAGTTGTTTCCCTGTGTCTTGAGACTTCTCTGGTTCTAGATTAGTTTATTTTGAGTGTTTGGTTAAGTAAGAATTCAATAAACATTGGACTTGGTTCTGCTGAATCAGGTCTAGTCTGTTGGTCTATGTTCCTAGCTTTTGTTTGCTAACTTACAGATTGAACTGGGCTGTGGTCCCTTCATTACATTTGTAGAATTTTGTCTTAGCTCTCTAATGAATTGGATTTCATTCAATTTGGAGATCTATAATTCAAGTTATGTCTTAAAAACCCAGCAAAGGTCAATGTTATTTTAATGCTGGAAATTATTTCTATGTCTTGATCATAGGTTTATTTGGATAAGGTATGTAAGAATCAAGGACTATGTGATGATGTGTCTCGATAGTTTAGGGATTTATGAAGACCAGTTTTGAAATAGTGTTAGGATATGTTTAAAATGGATATGAAATGAAATATGTTGCTAAGGAAAAAAGTGTAATAGGTGGAAATGGATACTTTGGTAACATAAGAGTTTGTTTAAGCTGCTTTCCTTGGTTTTCATTAAGAGGTGGTGGTAAGGCTTACTTAATTATTTTTTTTTTATGTTATGCTATATATATATATAATATTATATATATATATATATATATTAGGACATAAGTATTGATTATCTTGATAACTTTCAATATGATTTAGAGTTTTTCAAAAAAAATACGATATTTAAAGGTGTATGTGCTTTGATTCTTGAATAAGGAAAAGTATACATTTATATGATAAGGGAAATTTCTTATTTGATACAATCTTCACTTATGACTTTTAAAGAAAGTTTTAAAAGAAGATTTATTTTGAGAAATTTTTCTATATTTAAGTAATTATATGAATTATGAGTACGTTCTGAAGTATACATTATGAATTTAAGAAAGGACTAAAGAATAAGATTAAGTTTTTGAGAAGTATTTATGAATTCAAGAATACAAGGATTTTGGGTTAATATATTTGTGTTGAATGATGATTTATTATGTAAGATGAGCATGCTCGATATTTAATGTCATTATGATAAGAAGCTATAATCATATGCTAGGCACATGGGTGTCTTATGTTAGGGCGGACGCGCTCCATATATTATGATAAGTTAGTGACTTAAGGCCATTATGAATAAGCTATGAAAACTTATCTGCTTCTCTTTCCCCTCAGTGTATGTGAGCCCCTTGGAAAATATTTTTGAGGCAATTAAATGAATGAGATTATATTATTTTAGTAAACCTTAGTTTGGAAATAAATGATTATATTATCGAATGAATTTTCAAAGCATGATATTTCGGTGTTTTTAATATAAATAATATGTGGTAATAAATGTCCAAGTAATTCTGATTGGAAGAATTAAATTATTTATGTTATTAATTATAAGTTTATTATTCTTTTGCTAATAAATTGTAAATTGTATGTTCTTTTGATGAAAATTTTATTGTTGCCAGTGCAAACATTTGTAGTTTGTTCATTTTATGAGCACCGGCATGAATTTTTACTAAAGCACCTCTGTTGATTATTTTATCATTGTTGCAGGTTGAAGTCCAGTGGTTGCTACTTGAAGATCATGTAAAGAGTAGACTTCAGTAATAGAAAGAGGACTATTTTTTAGTAGATGGTAGAATTAGTTTTGAATTGTACTTAAGAATCATGGCTTGTATAATTATTACATTTTCGGGATTAATGTTATTTAATTATAACTTAAGCACTGTAATGATTAAAATTAGTTTTGGTGTATCTATATTTGGTTAGATAAGCATGAGTTTTACTTTACAAATTTGTTTGGATATAAATATGTGTAAAAGCATTGGAGATAAGCATAAGATTTATTAAATGACTGAATATGAAATATTTTAAGATAGGTGGTATGATTAGTTCATTAAGACTTGATATATATAATGAACGCAATTAATTGATGGATATTAAATACTATTGAAGATTTATTCAGTTATGAAAATATAAAAGTGTTGTTGTGTTATGATGATCATTTGGAGATGTTGGAAGTTTAGAGTTTAATTGGAAGTGTTTTGTATTTCACATGTTTGGCGAGCTCATTTTTTTTAAAGGGATATTCTTACAGTATTTCTGTAGGATTTTTCCCAATGTATATATAAAAAAAAGATAAGAAAATGAAATGAAATTTCTATTATAAAAAAAGAAAAAAATTACTCGCTAAACTTGTGAATACTCAATTACTTGTGATTCATAATCTAATTTTATGATTTATATATTAAGTTAAGATGGTGTCTCCGGCACCGAATGTGGCATCCGTCGTATGGTCTCTCGGGACTGGCGGTGGGTGTTACAATCATCTTCTCCTAAGGTGGAAGCAACATTTGCCTCTAACTTCCCCTCCTGGTTCTTAGGTGCATTCTTGCATTGATTTTTGTAGTGCCCAGTTTTTCCACAATTCCAACATAGAAATTAAAGATAGGCTAACTTTCGCCACATTTATTCTTTGCTTTAACTTCTGATTTTGATAAAATTGATTTTGAGATGATTGTTGATGCTTTTGTAATTGGAATTGGGTGTTTTGTTTACTTGATTTTGATAAATTGTTTGAGATAGATTGTGATGCTTTTGGAATTGGAATTGGTGGTGTTTTGTCATAATCCAGAAAACCTATTGCATTCTTTAGTGAGAAATTGCATGAAGTTAGACAGAGATGGTCTACTTATGAGCAAGAGTTGTATGTAGTTTTTCGAGCTTTTAAGACTTGGGAACATTATTAGTTGGGGTGTGAATTCATTATTTACATGATCATCAAGTTTTAACTCATTTTCAAACTCAGAAGAAAGGAAGCAGTAGTTAACTCATTTTCCAGATGAAGTTCCGCAGGTGCTAGTTTCGTTTTATCTCATCGAGAAGAAGGTCCAAAGCAGTAGTTACCTAAAATTGGGAAGACCGAACAAATTCATCGAGAAGGCGAAAGAAGGAATCCAAGCCAGGAATCCGCGAACAAGAGCAGGGAAAGTAAGACTACTACTTCTTCTTCTCACGATCGTCCTTACTGATAGGTTCTCCCATCTTCTAATCGGAAATGGCGGGGTTGGTAGACCTGGAATGAAAGGAGAAGTGCAATTCTTGCCTTCGAACAGACCAAGTCCAACTCCTTCATACTCGAATACATCGGCTCGATTCCTAGAGCTTGCCCAGTAGCATATAAATTTAAAATCAGCTTTGTTGAGCTCTTTCATAGCGCTCTTCTATCTATGGGACTGCTAGCATCCATGCAAGATCTGGCTTTTATCGTATAGAAAGGAAATTGGTGGCCACGCTTTTTTCCATTGTTCCGGGTGGAGAAAGTGTAGAATGGGTAGGAGATTTAATCTATTTATATAGATCTGGCCGTATACAATGTCTAGGGTACCCTCTTAGAGTAAAGGAATTGCTTATCTCTTTAAGATAAGTAGAGAGAACAACCGCTTCGGATGAAGTCTACATAGTGCATTGCCCCCTCACTAATAGAATAGTTCCGTTCCTCAACAATAAAGAGATTGATCTTATAGAATCTTACATCAAGAGATTGTTCCTAGCCTGAGTGAGCCTATTCGACCTACCTACCTCAAAGGGGATTTGCCCCAAGACCAATTCTTTCTATGTTTTTGTTTCGGTGCGCGATTGGAGAGCTCACTGGGCCCGCCGCTTTCTTGATCGAATCTCATAAGATTGAAAAGAGCCTCTTTCGCACTTCTCTTACATCATTTCCCCAGTAAGAATTAATTAGAAGTTAGACCTTAGAATATGATATTAGAATAAGCATAAAAGAATTAATTAGAAGTTAGACCTTAGAATATGATATTAGAATAAGCATAAAATGCTAAGTATTGAAAGTCGGGGGTTCCTTGGGAACCACTTCTGCACTATGCGTGCACGATGTCGTCGAGTATTATCGAGTTGTTGTTGTTGGAGAACTTCCTTACCTAGCCTATGCTTCAAGGCGAGTTTCAAGCTCATCACAAGGAAGGATTTTTTCTTCTATTGGAGTGAGCAAAAGGTGGGAGTTAACGAGCTCTTTTCTTTTTTTATTTCTTTTTTGATTCCCTTCCGTCATTCCTTAAATCGCATAGCAGGTCTAGGGGGCATCTTATGTCTTTCACAATCCGATGGAAGTAGATAGGACTGTGTTGATTGAAGCTTTTGGTGCCTAGCGCCGCGGAATCCCCTTCTCCTCCTTCATCGTCATTGGTCCTTTCTTTCTCTTAGCTGCGACTTCCTCTCTATACGCAATTTATTTTTTGTGCTTTGTGCTGTAATCAGAAAGATGTTGTTATTCTACGATGTGGCGTTCCAGAAAGACTCACTTAACACTTTCTCATTCACACCGACCAGCTACTGAGTTATCACTTGGTATCGGAACTTTTCTCAATGAAGAATTTTCCCTTCGATGGGAACTCCTACTACTTCTATCTACCTACACCATTCTTTCTTTAATAAAGCTATTTCCCACGGTCAAGCCTAGTAGAGCTCCTAGTCTGACAAGACTAGCAAACATGCTACTAGGCCTAGCTACCATAAGAAAGGAAGGGAAAGCGAACCACAGAGACCATTTCACAAGAGCTGAGCTGAAAGAAGAGTGAATTACCCCCGGGTGACTGAACTGCAGGGATTTCTATTTAAGAGCCGGGTGAGCTACCTTAACGGCACCCTGGTATTCCTTATTTTTTTGATAGCACAGGTGATCCCTAATGATCCTAATGGGCTCGCTTCAATTAACCAAAGATAGAATGAGTTAAGAAAGTAGCTTCCAAGCTCAGTTTAGTCGTTGGAGTCATTTCAGGGGATTTCAGGAGGGATGGGCGGGGTAGAAGCCTCCGAGGCAGAAACTCCGGTCTTTGAAAGGGGCGTATCGGGGCCTGAAAGTCTTATTGCATCTATGGCATCTTCTAGACTCTTGATCGGATTAACTATTCCTCAAGTGCCACAGCTGCTCTTCCTGGTCGAAAATCCTCTACTTATCGAATTCAAAGAAAGACATTCAAATAGTGAATCTATCCCACTGCTCTTATTCCACAGTCTTTAGCACATAGCAGTCGACGCAGTACTAATTCCTGGCGGTTCCGCTAATCTTCCTATCAATTCATTCCTAAAAAACCCGACAATCATAGACTTGATTTAAATCGATCCCACGCCTGTCCCGAAGGCAGATGAAAGACAAGGCAAAAAAAAAGGCAACATAGCTGAATTAGCATCGATTGAATCACAAAGCAAAGATTTTTTGTTCAACTATGGAAGAAGATCAAACTAGGGCTAGGGCTATTTGAACAAAGCCGAATCTGTGGACATTCCATTAGCATTACTTTCACCGCCTCAAGGCACCGCTGTTGAAGAAAGAACTCCGAGTGAAC